AAAAGGCACAGCTGCCAGACATAACACACGATATTGGGATAAAGGCTGTCACCCCACGACAGATGGATAAGGGAGGTACCAAAATCACTCTTGCTTCTTCCCTCTAATCCACTGAAAACATTTTCAGAGAATAGGACTGCATTTTTTAATATAGATGCCTAGCTATACAACAAACTCAAGAGCTTGAACAAATAATATAAAATGCGCTAGATATTCCTCAGGCACTTTTTTTTTTCATACTGGCATGAAAGGAAATGGTTTCCAAGTATATTATGCTGCTTAAGTGCTGATGAATCTGCCTTGGTTTCTGGCAGGCATACTTCAGTGAGCAGTGTCCTCCTGTGTTCCTTTTCGTAATTGTCTTGAATCTTCATTGGGAGTGAAAGAGAGCTGGCACTACATTTGCAATATTCCCCTTTATTGAACGCAAACTGTTCTTTCACTTCATTGTCAAGTACTTCTTCCAGCTCAGTCCCCTAAGTCCTGGAAGAGGAAAATGTGATGCACCAGAGGAAGGGTCACTTGAGTCCTAGTGTTGCTTCTTAATTTTTTTCTCTTAAATATCAACTGCCTCATATCAATGAGGAATAATGAAATAGTTTTACTTACAATTCTTAGGTGTTTATGTTCTTTGCAGACAGGTTTGAGTGATAGTGTACTGAGAAAAAGAGCTGATCTGAAGGCTCTGGAAGAGCTGGAAAGAGGCAGTGGGGATTGAAACTTTATATCAAGAAAGTAGGAGCCACAAGGATTAATGACTTGAAAGTACAAGAACTGTGGAATAGTGAGAAGTTCTGAAGCTCCAAAGGCTTTGGAGGCTTCCTTTCATTTTACATAGGAACATCAGGAAAGGCTACAAATGTTCCTCTTTGGGGAATTCAGTGGTGATAAAGCAGAGGAAGGATTGATATTAACAAATGAGAGAGGCAATTTTGCACGGAAGCAAAGAGAAAGATACATGTATGTGCCTCTGTAAAAGTATGTAATTGAACCATAAAGAGTTTTTAAAATCTATTGTCTTGTATTGTACTTCAGTATATTTTATAGTGTGAGTTTTGAAGGCCAGACTATTTCAACTGTTTTGGAGCTGTTTTCCTAGACCTTGAAGGCAGCAGCTCTTGCAGCACTGTGGGAATGTGTTAAAGAACACAGACAAGGAGCCAGCTGAGTAAGACTGCAGCTGGTACACTCCTTTCAGTGACAGAATATAGTCAAGCCATAGCTGTGCATATGAAATGGACAAATGTGTGGTTTAGTGTTGGGGCAGCTTGTGAAACAGTAAAGCTCTATGTAGACACAGCTTTTCTTCTCCAAGATCTGTAATCTGTCTGCTTTGACAGGAGGAACTTCACCTGGCAGGAGAAAATGTGCTGTCAGTCTCTGCCTACCTTTATTTCTCTGTCTCCTTGTGTGGAAGCATTAATCCCAGATCAACACACGCCAGTGGTGTCACCTCTGAATCTCACTGTAATTTCAGGAGAGACTTTGGTGTTGAAACAAAATGTCCAAGGGCTGTTTTTTGAATAAAGGATAGGCTGCTTGCCATCACTTTTCTTTACTGTATCATTTAATCTTTCATATGTCAGTGAGTGTAAGTGTACTTTGAAAGTCTAAGATGAATTTAGGCCAGTGTTTCATGGCTTTCTTGCTATAAAGAGATATGTTTCCAGTGTCAATTTAAAGCCCTCATTCTTTCAGAACAGGTTATGACCACCTGCTGTTTATGTCAAGTGTCAGGAAACACAGATGATGCTTTTGATGACAGTGGTCCAAGTGATTTCTGGTTGGTGTCAAGGAAATTTCTGGATAGGCTGGTCAGTCATGGGTGATATACAGCTGGATATGCTGTTAACTGAGGAGAGTTGTTTAGTGAGGTGATAATTACTGACAGTTGTTGCTGTAATCTTCATGAAAGTGTGGCATTTGACATCTTATGAGGAGCAAGTAACGCAATTAACAGTACAGGTTCAGGTGAGCAGGGCTGGAGTTCAGGTGAGCATACTTGTTTTCTGAAGAGTCAAGGAGCTCCAGAATGTTGGCAGGTCTTCAAGGGCAGCGTTCTGATCCACAGAAATATTTTGACTGAACGGGAAACAGCTTCAGTGCAAAAATGCAGCAATCAAGGACTGGCAGCAGAAACAAGCTGCAAAGAGAGAACCCAGATGGAATTACAGGTATGTTAGGGATGCTTTCAGGACAATGGAAGCTTGTCTGTAGTTGACAATTGGAAGAGATGTGAAAGGCAGCAAGGACTGCAGCCAAAGCATTGATAACAAAAACTTATCATGTAAAACATGGGCTCATTGTCCATAAAGTAAGTGAATTGGTGGCAGCAAACAATTTCATATGTTTCAAGACTTTTTTTAATCTTTGCTGAGAAAAGTATGAGTTAAAAAAACTGTCCTGTTGAGAAGAATTTTAACTCATCATAACTGGGAATTGAGCTCTGTACCTTTATTACATTACAGTAAGGGTTAACCCCATGAGTATCAGGAGAGAATCTGTACTATAATGGTAAAAGGAATTTCCTGTTAGAACTGATTTTTTTTTTACAGTGTGTCTGTAAGAAGATCAGCTTGTGGTAAGGTGTCAGAGCTTTTGTGAGTGCTCCTTAGGTAAATTTCATTACTCTCTGGGGAAACCTGCTTGTACTACCCGCCTTTTTTTTGAACTTCTGTACTAGCCTGTGAGAAATGTATTTGTCAGATCTCTGATACAAAGAATAATGCTCTATTTTGAGAGTTGTGGTAAGTGAATACTCTAGGATAGTTTAGATTGGGTAAGCTAACTGCAGATGTATTTCAGTACACTTCATTGGGGAGTCACTTGGGCATTCATGTGATTTGACAGGTAACAAGTTGAAGGGCATAAAGCTTAATATTTTTTTCAGTAATTTTTTCTAATCTATCTCAAACTGAAACTTACATTCCTAAGTTCTGTATTTAGAACTCTAATCTTGTAAATATCTTTGCGTAATTCTCTTCCTCAAAAAATATCTCATCTGTGATACTGATCAGTGAATGTACATGTGTGATCACAGTATATTGGCACAGGTGAGTAAAGTGGAGGAGGAAAATTCATCAAGGCTTCACTTCAACTGTAGTTGCATTGGTCTACATGCAGGGGTACTTGCAGGTCAAGAACTTCTCACAAAAGCTGAGATTAAAATGTTTCTTAGACCCTGCCCTTGAATGTGGCTAATGTGAAAGATGCCTGTCCCTACATAACTTGAGTATTTCATTCACCCACAGTCAATGCCATCTGGCTGGTTTTTGTTCTTGATAGCTGTACTTCACAATTTATAAAAGTCATGTAAAAGTCACATTAAGCGTGCTGCACAGTTTTTAATTTGCATTCTGTAAGCCCAAAGTTCATAAATTAGTGGTTTTGCAATATGGTTGTTCTTCTCCATACCAATAATCCTATTACATAGCTTTGCAAAAGTTGTAATGAAAACTCATTTTGTGTGTATGCCCTCCTTGCAATAATACTGACTTCTGTGGTGTTGGAAAAAGTTGGAGATACTATGCACATTAAAGGATTTGTACATATTTGTACCCAAATGGAAGCTACATAATCTGCCTTTACAATGAAAAGTAATTCTCTCTGCATTGGCAAAAGAAGCACTTATCTCCTGTGACTTTGTGTTTCAGACAACGGTGCAGTGTTCGGTTATCCTGCCAAAGCAGTAACAACCTGGATGAACCTTGAAGTTTCAGTGCTCTCAAGGAAGAGTGGATCATTTTCGAGCTTTCAGAGGTCATAATATCTTCAAAAATTGCTACAAGCTTAAAATAATGGACTAAACATTGACCAATGATCATGTGTAAGGCTGCTGTTAAAATCTTTGTCGGTTTGATCACATATAAGATGGTTAAAATTAGATTTTGAGTACATTTTCAACTATAAATACCCCTATTGACAAACTGTATCTGACAGAGAAAAAAAGTCAGTATCCTCTATTCAGTGGTACCTTTTAACTGGTGATAGAAAGCAAAGTCTAAGTTATATTGTTGTTGCAGTTTCATAAAATAAGGTCTACGAAAGCAGATTCACAGGCTATTTGTGTTGCTGTTTCTACCTCCATCTTTTCCTTCAACAAGGCACATGATTACAATTCACTTCAGAAACATAACAGAAAAACTGAACAATTTCAAATTAAAATTATACTATTTTTATACATTAACCTTATTTTTTATTCCAGTGATTTTTTTAAGCAGCGTATTTGTTTTGTGTGCTAGAAGACCTGGTTTAATAATTATGGTGGTTCTGTCACAGTAGCAGGTGTGTAATGAGTTAGTATTGGAGACCGAAGTAATGCCTAAACCAAATTTGTGCCTGAAGATGTACTTACATGATTTACAGAACTGTACAGAAAAAGTACTTTGCTGACAGTGTCCCAGACACACCCATTTTCTGCTTTATTGAACAGCTCCAATTTTAGTTCCTGTATTAAGTGATGAATGTGCTTGAGTGGTCTGAATGTATGCATTTCAATTTTTTAATACAGTTTTATTTTAATAAAACAACCTGCTACTTCTTGTCTAGTAAATAAAACAAATGAAACATGTACTTCTCCAAGATGTGTGGAAATCGGGAGGGGGGGTATTTACTTCTAGTCATTATGTATCACAATTATTTTTGCCATTCCTTAAACAGGTTGGTGATGATATCTTGTAAACAACACTTTCAGAAAGACACTTTTTAGAAAATACTCTGCTGCACAGAACTTTAGGTTCTAAGTCCCTGAACAGGGATTGCTGAGGCAGAAGTGAATCAGAGTGCAAGGAAAAGATCAGAAACATGAATGGTAAGGATCCTCATAGTACTGTAAAAAAAAATACTAATCCAGAGGAAAATAGAAGAAAGCTGGTACACAAGCATTTTAGCTTCCTTGTCTTTTTCTATTAGACACCCAATCTCCTGCTGTGAAATCCCTTAGATCTGGATGTATTGTTTCTAGCAAAACCAGTAGAGGTGCTTTTCAGGTACTGGGGAAAATAGTTTAACCAATTTTCTATATTCATAGTGTTTTTTAAAAAATTTGGATTGCAGGAGTGAGAGCTGGAACATACATTTCATAATCTTCCATTAAGCCAAATCATATATGTGGCCTTAAGAATGGTTTCCATTTTTATCTTCCTTCCATTGGCACTTCTGGTGAAATGGATCAGATCTATGTGTTCTAAAGAGAAAGCTTTTTGCTGGGTGTTAATTTTCAATCCCCTTGGGTTTCTCTTTTTGCACTTGGTAGTGACATATAATGGTAATTGTTATGCTATTTTTTTGTTTATATACTGGATACTTAGTGTCACAGGAGAGTGGCGCAGAGCAGGTCCATAGGTAGTGGCTTCTGTTACACATTTCTGTTACATATTCTTCTTATGTGAGGCTAGGTGAGAACATAGATAAGAATAGCTGCATCCAAAGAGTTACAGTCAAGTAGCTCAGTGTCCAGGTGGAAACCAGGAGCAGATGGTTTCCCTCGGAGGTCTGGGACCAGCCTGTGTAGTATTTTCATCAGTTAAGTAAGAGAGTGAGATTGAGTTTGTGGAAGAAAAAAGCACCAAGCTGGGTAGTGAGTGAAGGTAGGAATGTCATCCAGTGGAACGTTAACAGCTCAAGGAGTGGGGCCCAAGTTCAACAAGGCCAAGCAGAAGGTGCTGCATTTGAGTTGAGGTGAAGGTGGTTGAGATCAGCCTAGTGGAGATGGACTTTGGTGTATGAATGGATGAAAAATTGAACATGGGCCAGCAATGTGCACTCACAGTTCAGAAGTCCAGCTGCATCCTGGGCTGCATCAAAAGCAGATTGAGGGAGGTGATTTTGCCCTTTGCTCTCATGAGACCCTACCTGGAGTATTGCATCCAGTTTTGGGTACTTTGTAAGAAAGATGTGTTGGAGCAAGTCCAGCAGAGCGCCACAAAGATGACCAGAGGGATGAAGCACCTCTCCAAAGAGGACAGGCTGGGAGAGTTGGGGTTTTTCAGACTGGAGAGGAAAAGGCTCTAGGGACATCTTAGAGTGGCCTTTCAGAACATAGTGGGGGCTTATGAGGAAGAGGGAGAGAGACATTTCACTGCAGCCTGTGGTGACAGGACAGAGGACAACAGTTTTAAGTGGGTATCTTTAGATTGGATGTAAAAATAGTTTTCATGATGAGGCTGCTGAGACAATGAAACAACTTGCTTAAAGAAGTTGTGGATGTCTTTAGAAGTATTCAGAATCAGATAGACAGAGTTCGGGCAAGACTAGTGGAAGGTGTCCCTGCCCATGGTGGGAGGTTTGGGCAATTTGTGGTTTGGGCTGGAAGAGACCTTTCCATCATATTTACTTGCTCTGTCAACATAGGCTTGGTACCTAACAGTCTCTCATGCAGAATTTGTATATAAAGTCTATAAAACTCTTGTAGCGTATAGTATGTTTTTTGCAAAGTTCAGTGTACATTTTATAGTCTGAAATGTGCTGCAAGTAATTTATCCATAGGACTACAGACAGAGATGGTCATTGGCAAGAAAAACATAGGAAAATGTTTAATTATGTAAAGAAAGGACCAAATATAAGTGATTTTAATGGTCTTTCTAAACAGTCTTAAGAAATGTATTTATTGTAGGCAGAACTGCAGGTGTAATAGAACAAAGATACAAATTGTATGTATTGCATTACTAAAACCAAGTAAACATTCTAACAAAGAATCATGGCCCTTTCTTGGACTCAGAGTGTGTCTGGTTTCACAAGAATGAGATAGTGATGGGCATAGGGCTTCACTGATAAAAGTTGCCACACTTCAGTTTGTGTCTCTCCATTACTTTTTTCTTTTTTCTTTTCTTTTTTTTCCTTTTTTTTTTGGCCACCGTTTTTCAGTCCATTTAATGTGAAGGATTTGGAGTACTAACTTCTGGTGCAGAGTATTGATGTTGATCCTATATCATAATATCAGAATCAGTGTTAGCAAGTATCATTTTGAGGCTCTTAGAAAATTGCATCTTGGCTGGTAAATAGCTTATCAGGATATAGGGTGGTAAACTGGGTAAACCGTGGCTGTTGCCTAGTTTTCAAACATTCCAGGTTCCAAAGTGTGGCCTCCAAGTTTGACTGATATTGCTCATCTTACAGAGACTTCATGGTTTTGGGTTTTTAAGTAAGACACTTCTGGTTTTACACTAACATGTCTTACAACAAATGCTGTCTCCTAGAAAAATTAAGAAAGCTTTTGGCAGGAAACCTTTCTACTTTCTATGTGTATGTTTCACAGACTACTTTGAAACTTCCTCTAAACATCATTCACTTCAAGGCAGGTACATAAATAGTGAGCACTGAAGCAAATGAAGCAGCTTCTCTGTGCATAAATTACATGATTAGAACCATGGAAAGCCTAATAAAGTATTTGCTAGTGGAATTTTACTGTAAATTTTCCAGGTCTGCTACTCCTTCTCCAGCAGAATTGTCCTAAACTTCCTTATTTGTATGGCCTGAATGCTGTCTCGACTTTGAGTGGAAGAGAACACCCCTAGACCTTGCAGGAACTGCCAAAGAGCAGATCAGTCTCACATGCTTCTCTGCAGGATATGCTTTGGGGGAATAGAGAAATGCAGCTGGCAAGCAGTGGGTATGTTAGAAATAAATGCTCAAAGCCTAATTTTCTTTCCCACATACATAGAGGGGAGACTGAGTGGACCTGAGTGCTTGCAAATAGCACAGATACACAAAGCAAGAGCAATGCCAATATTAAGCAAGGACCAGGAAACACCATAAATAGCCAACTGATTTCTTACTGGGTTTTCAGCTGGCATCCAAAGACAGAGATTGGAACTTTATTAAGCATCGAGATCTACACAGACCACAGGCAGAAATCTCAGGGTAAGTTCAACGCACAAATGACATGCACAAGAAGACATACACCCACTCACAGGAGCTTTTGTCCAACTGTCTCTTCAGTGGACAAGTGATGTTCTTTAGGAGTTCTGCTTCATCTTGGCACAGGTGTCCCAGGCAACAGAACTCCTTCTGCTTTGAGTGAAGATACTTCTCTATTTGGACTCAGTAGGTTTCAGCTCCCTATCTATATTCCAAGCCCACACTTACTTGTATCATGAGCACTTCCTCTCTGAGTGTGGACTTGCTATTATCTCCTACTCTACTCTTCACTGATTGTTTGGATGTTGTATTTTGCTTGGCAAAGCTATCCATGGCTTTTGAAGTCCTTTTATCTTGGATAAGATCTCCCTTTATTTTGCTCAGAGCATCCTCCAGTGTGCATATTAGCAGTATAATGTACCGATGGCAATGCAATACTGTGGAGTCAAATATGGCACAAACTAGACCAGGAGACAGGCCATTAGATTTACTCATTTTCTCATTTTTTGTTTTCTCTAAAGCATTCTTTGTGGCCTAACACTGATCTATCTTGCTAACATGAGATTGCCCACTCATATCTCATTTTCACTTATCTAAGACTTAAAACTCTTTCATGCTAATATCCAAAGCATTTGGAGAATTTGCATAGGTGGCATATGACATCAGAATTGAGTTTTTGTATTAGTATTCAAAACAGATCTGAAAGCAGTTGGTGTTCCCAGAATGAACCAGCAAGAGTGTTGTCTATTGGTTGGTTGGTCTATTGAAACCAGCTGAGTATCAGTAAGAGGAGAAATTAATTCAGGAGGTGCTCAGTACTGGATGGGATCAGCCTTCTAGGACGGAAATTCTGGCTTAACTGTTTTAACGACAGCTTCTTCTCCCCACTGTCATTGCAGTGTTGTCTGAAGCAAGACAGTGCAAAAGAATTGAAATTAACACTTGATTGCACTTTTGCAGAAGTTTGCCATTGTTTATTTAGATGATTGTCAATTTCTCCACCACCTTTGCTTTGACTTGGCTCAGGCAATTTGTGGTGCTAAGGCCTGTGTTTAAGCATACTTGAAAGTATGTTTTCAATCTGAACATCGGGATGTCATAGATTAGACCCAGCTGGAACTAATAGTGCTTCATGTAAGTGAAACATATTTTAGAGGACACATGCTGTCCTGTTGTTTGGTCTCCTACAATGTGATTCCTCCAGCACAAGAAAGGGGACAATTAATCTGAAAGAGGACAATTAATCTGAAATCTTTTAACTTGACCTTAGAATCTTAATACTTAGTGCTTTATAGGAAGCAACTTTTGTATGGGCTTTTATCAACTGTATAAGAAGGTTCTGAAATACATTTTTTGTGTTTTCATAACATAGTCAAACATTAAAATCATTTTTCTGCATCTGCCTCAAGGGTAAACCAGTAAGATAAGCTGGAGAATGGTGGTGGTAGGAGTTTCTTTCTGCTTAATTGCATGTGAGGACAGTAAAATAATCTCTGTCCTTGGATCAGTTTTAAGTACAAGTTCTCCACTCCATGTTGTTACTGGTACCTTGGGTTCACTCTCATTTTCTTCTCTGGCCCTTGGGGCTGCTCACCATCTAAAGAGAAAACCGATGTAAAAAAAAATAACAAAAACAAAACAAAAAAAAAAAAGGAAAAAAACCACAGAAAAAACCACACAAAGAAACAAAAAAACCAAAACAAAACAAAAAAAAAAACACAAAAAAATGCAAACAAACAAAAAAAAAAAAAAANAAAAAAAAAAAAAAACAATAAAAAAGCCCCAAAAAACCCAGCAATGTTGTTGAAGCGCTTGTTCTGTATAGGCAAGGAATGCCCTCTCACCCACGCCGCCAAGCAGGGTCTGCCGTCTGATTTTTAGTGCCACTGCTCATCAGCCTCATGCACTGGATTTCTGCAAGGATGAGTGTTATAAGGCAGTCAAAACCATTGGCCTAGGCTGACAGGGAGTGGGATAGGGATATATGTCCCTGGTGCATCCTTTCAGGCACAGGTAGACATGTTTTCCCTCTGCTTTCAGCTGGACCTGTGTCTCCTCTCCCCTGTTCTGGATACCCTTCTCCCAGGTCTCAGCATGCCTGTTTTCTTACCTGTCAACAACCAGCCCTATGGAGAGAAAAGTTGCTGATGCTGACACTTTCCCCACCTGGGAGGTCAAACTCTCACAGTCTATATTGCCACGCAACGCCTCGAGTAAGAATGTTTCTGTTTAGAAATCGTGAGGGAGGCTGCTTCCTGAAAGAAGTGAGTGCTTCTTGTCAGCCACCCAGGCTCAGGGCGGGTTTTTTTCTCCTCCGGCGAGCTGCGGGGTGACTAAAGGAGGGCAGCAGGGAAGCGGCGGCCCGGAGCCTGCAAACGGGCATGGCGCGGTAGTTTGTGCGGCATTTCGTGCAGGCAGGGTAAGCAGGCAGGGTTGCAGGTTTCCTCCTGCTGGAGAGGTTTGTCGATTGTTGTTTGTGGTGATTGGTCGGTTTGTTTTTGCTCTTTTTGTTGTTGTTTTGAGGTTTTTAGTTGATTGGTTGGTTGGTTGGTTGGTTGGTTGGTTGGTTTGGTTTTTTTGTTACATCAATGGCAGCAAAAGCTACCTAGTCGGTTGTAGGAAGGAGGGTATATCTCATATCATGACCTCTGCTGATGGTCTAGCTAAACCCCAGGTCTTTTGTCCCCTTGGTCCTTATTTGCCTGAAGCTGTAGGTGTAAATAGGGTTTCTCAGAGCCCACTCTCAATCCTGAACTAACACTCAATAACAAGAGTAATGCCAGATCCAGTGGCAGTGTTCTGTGTATCTTTCTGGGAGGCAGCCTGACGCCTTTACTTACAAGATTCTTAGTTTTCAGCTCCTAAGGACTGCCTCTCCTTTCACTACACCTTCTTGGATTTTTTCCAGAAAGTCCAGTTTCACATTTTGTTTGCAAGTGTTTCTACCAAAAGCATAAAGATGCTTACAAATACCTAGTAAGAGACAGGAATGTGGAGATATTGGTCCTCTGGGGACATTTCCACAAAGAAAAAGACTTTTCTGTCTTCTTTTTTAAACTTTTAAACCACTTCTGCCTCTTGTGAGTTTGAGTGAATTTGTGAGTTTGTGAGTTTGAGCCTGTGAGTTTGAGAAAAAAAAAAACACGAAGAAATGTTTAATTACTTCGGTGAGTGTTGGTTAAGGATTGGTTGAAATCTGATTTAAAAATAATAAAAACAGAACAACTAGGTGTATTATCTCTTCCCTGGGAGTGATTGCCCCATCAGGGCACTTAAAAGACAAAAATGTCTTTCGAGGTTCCCTCTCCAGCACTTGGTACTTTGGCTTGCCTTTTCTATCTTCAAATACTCACTTTCTTCTGTCAGGGCTCTGAGCATTTCTATTTTCTTCCTGAGATTTAAAGTACATGAGGCTTATTTTCTGTGTAAGTAGGCAATGAAGTTAATGTTATTTCCACACCTTTGTTCCAGGCAAGGTGGAATGATGACTTCCTTTTCTAAAACAGTTTTTATTTTTCCTGTTTTCCCTGAAGCTTTCAAAGACTTTGAACATGGGATTTAAAGCATGTGAACCCTAAGACACAAAAACCTGGGTGAATCTGGAGGGGAAGTTTCCTGCTTTAAAGCTTTGGAGTCATGTTCCAAAAGAGTAAATTTTTGTAGTGTGTAATAGCAAACTCTGTATTTCTAAGTGCCATTACACCTGAAGGTATTTTATTAAAGTTTGACAGACAACAGTACAATTTAAAAATATTTTGTCAAATTATTCAGATGCTGGCATTTGCATGCAATTGAGGTGTGGTTTTTTTGTAGCTCACAGCACTGCTGGTTCCTTGTCCAAAGAATGAACAACATTTTCACCACCTCTGAAATCACCATACATAACTCCATGCCTTGAACTTTCCATCTTCAGGAAGTTTTGGGCTTTAGCAGCTCTGAGGCCAAAGCCTCTGGGCAGGTTACACTCTTTTGACACAGCCTTCCCGAGTGGGTAGAGGCTGGTGAAAACCTCGTGGGCATGCCGGTATGAATGCCACTTCCCCTGCCGTGTTTCGGAGGGGACTGCCCGGAGCTCTGGCCCTCGTTCCCACGGGATTGGCAGCCTGCAGGCGAGGGGGCCGGCGGCAGGGAGCGGGACAGCGAGCCCAGCGGCTGGGATGGATGCTGTGTGAGTGGATGCGCTGCCGCCGCGCCAGCCGAGCTCTGCCAAACGCTGTCCCCAGGCTCCAGCTCGAGAGCTGAACTTGGGCTCCCTCCCGCCTGGAGGGTCGGGAGAGAAAACGAAAAACTCCTGCTCAGAATTACAGGCTACTCTGAGTTGGAAAGGGAGGCACCACCACTATTTGGTCCGACTTGTCTCACCCGCCCTGCCTCAGAAGAGTTTGCTCCCAGACGCCAAACATGCTCTGTGATGGGGCTCACTCTCCGTTTTCCATTTGTCCCCCAAAGGGCTAAGAACCACTTTTTTTTTTTTTTTTTTTTTTTTTTTAGAGGAAAATGCCTCAATGATTCCCCATCCCTGCTAAGCTCCCACTTCTAAAATTAGATAATAAATTACACAAGAAGGTACAAACTACAGAGGAGCTTTTTTTTTTTTTGTACTTTGAGTGTTGTTATCAAGAATGAAATAAACAATTTGGCTATTTTTAACTCTGTGTGTATGTGCTTAAGTATGTGCTTAAATAATGCATATCTACAAAAAGTCCTGGTATTTGACCTGTGTGATTGTGCTGTGTGTATCTACATTTATTTATGCAGACACACACACAAAAATTGAAAGCAACGAATAAAGTTGAAATAAATAGCACCACTCAACTAAGTAGAGCAGCATGCAGAGCCATTAAATATTCGATGATGAGAAGTTAATTATTTTTAAGCCAATCTTTTTCATGTTTTATTACTGAATAATAGCAGGTATTTAATCACACATAAGTGGTATGAACATCGGGTAGATGATAGAAATTACACAGAAAAAACAGAAAACAGAAACCAAAAGGAGGGCAAAAATCCAGATTTATTAGCAAAATTAGGCATTTGTTGTTATTTCCAAATATCTGGCTTAGAGAGCCAGAAAGCTGTCTTAAAAATAAGAAGCTCATTGACTATATCTTCTGAGCAAATGGGATCTCCACATGCAAAAAGCTAGAAAGTAACTAATTGATTGCCAATTTTTTTCCCGACGGCTCGCTGATGACGGGCGGCGGGGCTGCTCGCGGGGGAGGTGGGCTGCAGGGAACGCGGCGACGCGGACGCGGCGGGACGGCCGGGATGGGGTCAGCGCGCAGCCTTCTCGGCGGCCCCCGCGGCTGCCGGCAAGGCCGGAGGGTCGCGCAGGTACCGCCCCACGGGTCCGTGCGGGCCCCCCGCCGCCACTTCGAGGGGCAGGCGGCCGCCGCCGTCGGGGAGGTCGAGGCGCGCCCCGGCCCGGTGCAGCGCCGCCAGCGTGCCCAGAAAGCCGGCGCGGGCCGCGTCGTGCACCGGGAGGCAGCCGGTGCGCGGGTCGGGGCGGTTGGGGTCGGCTCCGTGCAGCAGCAGCAGCTCGGCCACCCGCGGGCTGCCCAGCATCATCACCTGCGGGGAGAGACAGCGTCAGCGCCCGCCACAGAGCCCCCAGCACCGCCGCGACCGGCTTCTCTCTTGGGCAGTAATGCTGTGTCGGCTCCTTGTATTCGCATACACTGTGACAGCCGGTTGTGACTACCCGTGCGGATCCCTTCCAACTCGTCTATGATTAGATGATAAATTAAAAATATTAGCTAGTGGTTTCCAGACTAGGTATAACACATGTGCGTGCCCTGCTTCACATTTATATAATTTATATACATCATGGTACAAATGGTCCTTGTGGTGTGCGTATAAGCACATATATGTACACACATGTTAGGCGCAAATACAGACCAGCTCTGTGTGTGTACAGATATATGCACACAATACAGACCCCGTTTACGTAATTGTATAATAAACAGTGCATGTATCTGTATTATAAATATATTTAGACATACACATATATAAAAATATATTAAAATTATTTATACACATGAAGAGTTTGTAAATATTTGTATACTATATATACACACCATGTATTTTAGGGCAGTAAAGGACCGAGGGGTCTTGCATTAAGGCTGCTGTCACTTAGAATGCATTATTGATTAATCAACGGTCAACACAGCAATGGAAAATGCAGCTGGGTGTGGCTCCTTTCGGCATTCGGTGTGGATATGGAAAACTTTCCCTTCCTGAGTTTCGGATGAAGAAGTTTTTTCTTCTTTTTTTTTTTCTCTCTCATGTCTGTCTTCTTCTCAGAGAGCCGCTGCTGAGCGCTCACAAGCAGTGCACAAAACTTAACTGATGGAAAATTCCGAATGATAATGTCTAAATGGCAAATTCCTAATGACAGTCTGCTTTTCTGCCAGTAGCAGAAAATAACTTCTGGCAATATTTGATCATACACAACTGAACAAAACCCACAAAAAACCCCAATCAACCAAAAACCAAAATAAATTTGTACATGGGGTTTTACTTCCCTTACTGTCCTGGTGATTTTCAGTGGAATTTTACCCACCATAAATTGTGACTTAATACTATGAAAAATATTTTAAGACAATAGGGTTTTCTCTCAATTGCTATCTCCAGACTTTGGTTTGTCCGCTTCAAATAATTTGGTTTATTTATAGTACAAGTGTGAAATACTTATGAATGTCATAATATCTAAATTCCCGATATTAACCTTTCCCAGAAAGAAAAAGAGAGTCCACGTAGTCGAGTGTCAGCCATTTTGCAAGTTGCAGACAAATGAAAGAGAATTTAGTCTGGAATGGAGAAAGGATCATTTATAAGAGTTTGGAGACTCTTTTAATCTGCAATTTGAACGTAAAATGGAAGTAACATGGATAACTTTCTGAGAGCTTTTCTCAGTAATACAGTTCAGAAAAATATTTCAGAATATTTAATGTAAAGTGCAAGGACCAAAATAGCTGTTCAGCTTAGCTGAGCAGTAGATTAATCATCAACGATATCTCTTTAAATAACAACTCGAAAAATCTTCCTGAGATACACAACTCTTATTTAAATCACAGAATATTAATCGTTCAATGAACATTTTAGAAGTGTCTACTTAAGTATGTCGATAAATGTAACACATTTTTAACTCTCAAACTGCCTAGAAAGCAGCTCTACATACTGGTGCTTCTAGCATCTACTGCCACTATTGATTGATAGAGAATGTTAAAATCGCTACGACTAAAAGAAAGAAAAGAGGTGACTACTAATATATACCCAGTTTCAAGTAACAATTTTTATCAGCATAGTTTCTAGGTTCTTTGCTCATGAACATACTAGAAAAGGACCCCACTTCGATTTCCTTGGGGAAAAAAAGACCTGTTCGGTCTTTTTTTTAAAGAACTCCGTTCGGGTTACATTTAAAAATCAAGAAATTTGCTCGAAGTGCAGATCATTCGCCCAGCCTATCTGGATAGGTTATCTGGGGGCGGATTTTCCAGTCCAACTTCTCCTTTAGACTACCCCCTGGAAAAATTCGTTTGCTGCCAGCGGTTCCCTACTAGCCTCCATCTTGCGCTTATAGGATGTCTGGACTAAGTAAAAAATAAAGGTCAGACAGCTGCGGCAGGAGTACGGGTCCGATCATAGCAACAAGAGTTCATTCTAAACACAAAATGCGCACCCCCCCCGTCGACGTGGCAGAGCACAGCTTCCCCCCTGCCCCCCACCCAGGGTACGCCGTACCTGGAGCGGGGTTCTCCCAAAGCGATTGGTCCCGTTGGGATCCACGCCTGCTTGCAGCAGCCTCCTCACCTCCTCGTGGTCCCCGCGGGCGGCGGCGCTGCACAGGCGGTCGCCGTCGCTCCGGGGAGAGCGGGACCCCTCCATCGCCCCCCGCAGACCCCAGCCGCCGCTGGCTTTCCCTCTCTCCCGGCTGCGATCTCGCCCAGCTCGTGACTGCCACCCAGCTCCTCCCTTCCCGGGGGCAGCGGGCCCCCACTCGCACCCGCTCCCCCTCCTGCCCGTCCCGTCCCGTCCCCCCCTGCCCGTCCCGCCCCCTCCGGGCGCTCCTCCAGCGCTGAGCTGTCCTCTCCCGCTCTGCCCCGGCTTCCAGCGGCCGAGGGAAATGCGCGCACCCGCCCGGGGCGAGGGGCACCGGCAGGGCGGCCAAGGACGGCGGGACGGCGGCAGCCTGGTCCCCGAGCGCGGCACGTCGGAGGGCAGCCCGGCCTCATCCCCGCCTCAAGCACGGGCGGTTCTCGCGGCGTTTTTCTCCCACCGGGGAGAGGGGGTGGGGACCGCGGCCTTGCGCCCCCAACCTCTCCCCACATCGGGGCGGACCGCGAAGGCAGGGCAGCGGGGCGCAGACCCACGGGCAAACAGCTTCCACGGCAGCTGCCTCGGGCGGGGCAGGTGGGTCGGCGACATGACGAAGGGACGGCGGACCTTTCCCGGAACAGAAAGGGACTCTTTGTGCGAGTGATAGCTCTAGTTTCTATCTCTGAAAGGGGTCCTGCTCTGCCCGAGCCCATCCGAGAGGTGGGTCGGGGGTCCGTCCCTCCGTGCTGTGCCTGCCGAGAGCTGGCAGACCGGATGAGGAAGGGAGCCGTGCCCGCAGCAAGTCTGCCACCAACCTAATGGCAGCGCATAGAAGAGGAGGATCGCTTCAGCTGGGCCCTGACAGAGCCTCCCGGGAGCAGGAAAACCGCGGCGAGAGCCCAGCAGGGTAAGGTGCACCTCCAGCCGCGCAGCCGGAGGGTAGGCAGAAGAATCTCGCCTTGCAGTCATGAAAGATCCTCAAAATCCAAGCATCTGCTCCTGCCCTTGGCGTCTCCCCGCGGCAGGCCCAGGCCTGCACAGCCCCCGCCCCAAGAGACCCCCGCGGCTGCCGAGTGGGAGCGCGTGGTCGGCACCCACGACCTGCGCCGCGATGTTCTTATTCTGCTACCTCGAAGTTCCTGCCTCTTACAAAGGAGGCAGGGGGAATAAGGGTGTTTTGCAGGGTTTTGTTTTCCCTTTTTTTTGTTTGTCCTTTCCTTCCCCCCACCCCCAATGTCAGTTCCCTAATCGCCTTTCTTTTTTCGTTTGCAGGAGACCGGTGCGAGGCTGCAGAAGTATCTGCTGTGAAGATACAACCCCCGAAAAGCTCTGCATAGCTAAAAGAGAAACAATGATTATGTCTATATTTACTATTAGCCAAAAGCAGAGACATCCTCAGATGAGGATAAATAAACACAGATTTATCCCGGAGTAGACAAGTCAGAGGTTCATTAAAATGTCTTAGTTTAGTGCCTTTTGGAGCCTTCCTTGCGAAGTTTCTGGGGCAAGTGGATCAGGGTCCAAAATTTGAGGCGACACCCTCACTTGCCAGGGACCGGTGGTGAACTCCCACCACATCGTGTTTTTTCTACAATGCATGGTGCAAAGCAGCCCTCGGGACAGATAGGCAGTTTAAAACAAACAAATAAATAAATTTTTAAAAATTAAAAAATAATAAATAGGGTTTAAAGAGTGGATTTTTAGAAGTCTGTAAAGTCTAAGAAAGTAAGATGATCTCCCACCCGAAAGGCAAAGTATCTTCCAGTTCTTCTTGCGCTCTCTGACATTAATGATAGCCAAACAGAGATAAATCCAAGGAGAAAACCTTGTTGGTTATGTCCGTCAGGTGTCTTAAAATTTCAAATCAATAGTGATGCATGGCAAGGTTGCAGGTATCACTGCCTAGCCTTGTTTTCTGTGAAATGGTATTGATCATGGATTTTATGCATCTGTATGTATAAGTACAGGAATACATAATTTTTTCTGAGTATATAAGCATAAAAATATGTGGGAGTCAATGACCTTAATTAAAGGTCTTTTTCAACGCAGTTAATTCTGTGAAGAAAAAAAAAAGCACACTGACATGTCAATGTGTTTGCAAATAAAGATGTCACTTCAAGTCAGAGGGCCTGTCTGTATCTCCATCTCCATCTCCACTATATTATGTTAAAAGCTAATAGTATAAAACAACAAATACTGTCCCATTAGTACGTCCCAACATTATTGACCCCCAAATCACTTATCAAACTACTAGAACGTTTTTAACTCACAACATTTTAAATTACATGATTGAAATAATGGGATTTTTTCCCCCTCTAAAAGCAAGTCTTATATTATACAATTCTAGTACCAACAAAAGACCTCAAATTAATCAAAACATAACAATACAGAGTCATATCTGAAGTTAGGGTGATAATAATACAGCCTATGCTAGTGTGTTTTGAGAAAGAACCTTATATTGCACTTGTATCTCGGGGGGAGGGAAAAGATTCCACCTTTTCCCCCCAGCAAACCTTATTGCAAAGATATTTTCATTAAAAATATCTTTTTTGTAGTATAAAAGTAAAACAAAAAAAAATAATGCTAAGAATAAAAAAGCAAAGATTAAAGAGAAGGAGTAAAAAAAATATAAAGAATCATGTTAAGCAGTGATTCTGTCCCACATTTCTGCTCTTATTTAATTTTAGAATTATTATTCAACCATACAGATTTTTGACACCAAAAACAGATCCATTTTAATACTACAGTACAGCAAATTGTTCTGAGATGTTTTGATAAGAGCATAAAGGACGGAAGAGGTAACTTTCAGTTAAAAAAGCGGCCATCTTTTGCCCCATTTAAGGCTCAGCAAGTATTACACTTTCAGTAACAACAACAACTTAAAATCAAAATATTTACATTTTATCTAACAAGTATTTGGATAATAGGTTCAGGGGTTAAATAAATACTATAAGGAGACAAATTAAAAAGAACATAATATTGGGATTTCCTAGCTTGTAAATAGGTAAAAAGCACACAAGAGAAGCAGGGGTAGGAGGTGCAATGGAGAGGTTGCATGGAAGAAATGTGTTTTTTAGCTAAAGGGAGTGGGGGAAACAGTTCTGAATAGTTCCGAGTTACACTAAAAATGAAGCAATACCTGTTTACAGAAATAATTTAACATTATCATTCTTTTCTTCCATTTAAAGTGTCAGAATATTTGCAAAGATATATATTCTGATTACACATATTGGTTAAACCCAGGAAAATCTATCACCTTAATTTTAGTCGTTCAGAAGTTGTGCCATGGGGGTTGCTATTGAACTTAAAATTTATTGAAAAATTATCCTGAGCAAACAAAGCAAAAACCAAACTGCACACAAAAGCTCAAACATATCTCAGAGAAACTGTGGTAATAATGAATAAAAACTTCACAGAGTATATCTTACAATCAAATATTGTTTAGGGTTGGAAAGGACTTCAGAGATAATACTTCCAATCCTGCCCCCACACCCTGCCTCATCCAGCCTGGTCTCAGACACTTCTAGAGATGGAGCAGCCACAAATCCATCATGTGTTACCCTTACAGTTACAAAACCACCCCTACATACTGCATTTTCTGTAGGGTTTTTTGGTTTCATTTTGTTGTTTTAGTTTTTTAAATTAAATTTAACACACACTTATGTCTCACTCCATCCCAAGACCTTCAAAATGCTATTTGCAGTCTAGAACTAACTGGCATTTTAGAAAAGCTTATTCTCCCTGATTAAAAGCTCAGGGGAGCGGAATTTTTAAAAAGGATTATTTATGGCAAGTGTGGAAATAGAGTGAGAAAATAATAGCCATGCTTTCGGATCCATGAGGGCTTTTGACCTTGCTACAGAGAGTTTACTTCGTGGTGATTAGCACCCTCATACTCATGTTTGCATTTGAGATTCATGCCTTTCAGGTCGGACAGAGTTTATAGTTTCTTTTTCCCCCATTTAGTGTAGAATGAAGAAATGAGGCCTACTAAAAATGCAAAAAAAAAAGTGGCAATTTGAAGGCAACAATGAAAATTGTCTATATTTTCTGATTTATATATATATTATATAATATATATAGATAGATAGATAGATATAGATATACGCATAAGTCATTGTGCATGTATCTGTGTGTATGGCCCCGCACTTTTTATTCAAATAGCATTGGAAGCAATCTAAACAGAGAGTGGAGCTAGAAAACTCTGAATTACTTTATCTCCACGCCCTGAGTCTTATAGCTTGAAAGGTTAAAAATTTAATACATATATTTTTACATGTATAAAATAAATGGTGTTTAATTTCGAAGTAATTTTGAGGCAGACATTTCTACTTCTCTTCCACCTCTGTTCTTTCCAGGCTGTGCTGTGTATTAAAGGAGGTTGTGGAATGCTCTAATAACTTTCTATGAGGATTTTGCAGAACAATCCTCACATTCTCAGCAAAATGAATATTCACTTTAGCTTCAGTGTATGTCTAATTATTATTGTTGTTTTTTATGTGTGATAATCAACGCCACAACAATCTGATTTTGCACTCTGCAATAAGGAAAAAGTCTAAATCTGCCCGAGCCTCGGATGTCTTTCAAGGTCGTTCATACGAGTGTATTTTAATTACTCTTTCTGACGCTGCTCGGCTGCTCTGACACTTATTTCCCATATTTTTGTAACAGCAAGGGAAGGAAAAGTAGGCCACTGTATTTCACTGTCGTTTACAAGAGTGGAAAGTAACACACGGTCGGAAAACAGTGGCCATTTTCTCCAGAGCAATAGCTATGTTCCTTGTTTGCAAGAAACTGTCAGAAAGGATGAGAAGGGGTGGTGGATTTATATTTTCGCAATAAGCTATACAGAAAACGTCTCAAAAAGTGGGAGGCAAGGCAGAAATAAGTTACAGTGACTTTTAAAGAATTGAACATTTTCTACTGCGAAAAAAAAAAAAATGGCAAGCCAGAAAACCAAACAGCACAGAAACACCCGGCCTGTAGAAACCTAGCGCGTTTGTCCGTGCCATCTGAGCATGTGGCGCAGAGGGGTGAGCAGTGTCCCGGCGCTGG